CTATATCTTATGAGTTGGTTTGTTAATGATGCATATATTTATTAAATTGTATATCACACCTCATGTGATGTTTAATAATTTGAGTATGTGAGCAAACATGTCTTGCATATGACATGAAGATCAGTTAATCACATGTATCATATATGACATATAAATATTATGATATTTAATTCATAAATTATTTTAGAGTTGAACTCGAGCCAAAATATTGATCTTAATGATGAGCCAAGATTCAATAAATGAGTTGGCTCGTGGTCGGCTCGATTCAGCTCGTTCATAAACGAGCTGAGCTCGAGTTCGGCTCGTTTATAAATGACCCAAATCTAAACAAGGCAAAACTCGGTTCAGCTCGACTCATTAACCGCTGTAGGTTGAGACTTGAGTTGTGAGAATTCATATAATTTACAATTCATTGTTTGACCGACACTAATTCATGACAGGACTCACATAATTTGGCATGAATATTTCAAATAGTTTGGGTAAACCAAAATATTGTATATATCAATATCATGGCGGCATAAATTTTGGAATTACATTTTGATCCAATATCATTATATATGTCCAGAATAAAACGAAATTTCATATATTATATATTTGAAAATCAGTGAATAAGTTACCTGAATGACAAACGATCCCTTAAGCTATAGCTAGAAGGTCGCAGTTTTCCCTCTGATGCATGGGCCAGAATGGACTTTAAGGATATGCATGTGGGCAAGGATGGTTACTTAGCCCGCACCTACCGGCTACCTGGGCCAGATGGGCTCCAGATTGAGAAGATTTTGGATTGTTTCTCGAAAGATAGCCCATAGACAAGGTAGAAACCGGTCTAATTCGACATTTCATACTTCATTTGGTCTTTTCTTTTTTGACCTGTAAACAAAAATCTGTTCCTTGTATATGACGCTTCCAACTTAACCTTGGCTTAGAGCAATGAGAAACCAGAGTTGCTGTTCCTTAACACCCAGCTCAAGTCTCTTGGAAAGCGGCTAAGGAACTGATTCTATCCCAACCCCTCAAGGAGAATCGACTATGAGTGTGCAACAAGCCAACAGCATAAAAAACCAAAAGCATCACCACCCATACACACATTACAAAACAACACCTCGCTTCTGACTCTTACAGGAATCTGTGAGCTTATCAAGAAACCAGATGGAGTTCCGCTCCCATATTCGCCGCTCAAATTCACATATATAATTCAACTTTCCTCATTGCTTAATACAAGTTTTCCTACTCCAATGATTGTGCTTCCACAGACCACAATACATAATATAACATATATCTCTATATAAATGTACTAGATTCACGAAACGAAATGCCTATTCTAGAATACTACCACCATCATGGTTATTGATTACTAAGCGTACCCCGCCATCCCAACAGTTGAACTCGAATGATTCACCTTGTTAGAAGAAGCATGACCCGGGGCAGTCGTAGCCTTGGAGAAATATATGTAATAGTAGACGTTGAGGATCATTGTTGCAACTACGAACACAGCTCCAGCTATGAAAACACCCTTCCTCAGCGATTCGCACGAGAAGTTTTGAGCTAAGATCATGCCACGATACTTGGTGTGGTATGCATTCTGCTTTGCACCAGCAACTAGACATGCTTCTGCAACCAGAAAAGTCAACCTGCAAGGATGGAACTACTTTTCAAAAGAATTGCGCTAAAGTTTTACTTTAAGAGAGGTTCATAAGCAACTGGTGAGTTATCTCACCATGAAGAGACAAAATAAATGATGGACCAAGCTCGATCACCACCAGGGGTTAGTGGTCTACCAAAACACATGCAACTTGTCACGACCATCAGTATTGTTTCACTTGACAGGAGGAATAAAAAAGCACCTACTCCATAGCCAGTTGCAACATCAGACTTGTAGACACAGTATGTTGCGTTAGTTGCTTGACTTGCATCTATCTCAATATGTCCCTGGCATACACGTGTAGGGAAACAAAATTAGATTGCAATGAAGAATCAAACATGCCTAACAGAAGCAGCATGGACAACAAGTGAAATTAATTAAGATTTAAGAGTAACTATGGGATAGGAACCTGAAAACTGTTTACTTCGCTTCTAACAGAAGCAGATGAACAATAAAAGATGTTTGCTTGTTATCCTACATATATCAACTCCAGAAACATCATTTGGAAATCACTGCTGACTGGAACAAGGTCATGGAAAATTCCCTATGTGATTACAAATGTTATGGCTAATATTTAACGACCCAATAGATTCTACTGCATCCCTAATCCTAAGCCCTTGTACTTTGGCCATCAAGTACTAGTACAATGGCTGACAGAAAGGCATCACAACGAACATCATCCCAAAGGTTATAAATACGACTATCATAGAGTTGCTGTAGGGGGGATAGATAGCATTACAGCACCGATTGGAAAAATCAAAACCTATCAGCTACTAATTCAACTTCTAAGCTAGACTGTTTAGTATGTTGACTATCCCACAGAGAAGCCATTTGTGCAAATTATCAAGCAACAGAGCAAATAAAGCTGCAGGAGAAAGTAGGGTAAGCATTATTGTGCTAAAGGAATATACCTTTGCCATTCTTAATTCTTCAGCCATTTAGAAGGCACAAAAATGGACCCGTAAAGTAATCACACAAATGATTAACCATAACAAGATTCATTCGTTATAAATTCGCTCTCATCGTTAGACATTATCACACTAAAAACAGAAAGTAGATCAATCAAATCTAAGTTTACTCTCATCATTCTTGCGTTCTGCTAACATAATAGTTCAGCAAAGCTCTGCCATCTGAAGTAGGAACTTGAATCATATGTTTGTGCTCATTAAACTTCCTAACAAACAGACCAAATTAGTTCGCCGAAATGGCCAAATTTGAACTTCAATTGGCCCGGCATAATTCAACACTCAATATGATACCCAAAATAAAACAATGCGACGCTTATTAAACTAATTAGATGCTGATTCCATTCCTCAATTCCTACAAACAAAGCTCCAAGAGGCCGTCACTGCAGCATAGTACTGTTACGGGCTAGCCTCTAAAGTCAAAGCTAAAAACCAAACTCAAAGACTTCACCAGACTAAAAGCTATCCACTTATAACCCTTTTGTGCAATCGCAGGATCCACACATCCAAACAGATCCAAGTTCATAACTTTGTTCATAAACAAGCAGATCTTCATTTCTAATCAAAACTCTTATCATCCCAAACCTCTCCACTACCTAATTCACGGAAACAGACTCTCTAAACCGACATAATTACCGTAATCTCAGAAACCCCATAACCAGTTAGAGGGAATAGGCTAAAATGAGAGCAACAGGAGAAGTAAGGAAGGAGCAGAAAACATACAACACTTCTTCGTCTCTCAGCAGCAACGGCGAAGCCGAAAGCAACGAGGCTGAGAACCACCACCAGAAGGTGAACCAAAGTGGAGCTCCTGCCTTGTTGGCTCATCTCCTTTGCCCTCCTCGAATCTAAGCTTTCTTCTTTACCCCTGTTTTTAGAGAGATGGGAGAAGGGTTTCTTGAGGTTTCGTTTGGTTAACCAGACTGCTTGTGGCTTGTGAGTGAGATCGAGTAGAAGAAAGTAGTGGAAAAAGGAGAGTGGAAAAGTATGGACTGGGAGTGGGTAGTGAAGGTCTTGCTCTGTGCGCGGTGAGTGGAAAGGTAAGAAAATAATTTTTTAAACAAATATGCTCTTTTTAAGCAAAGACTCTTGTTTTCCTCCTGCTTTTTCATTATTCTTGTTTTTCCTTAGGAATCCGACTTGTTATTAATGAAGTGCCTAACTATTTTTGCTTATTAATTATTATTGAGTAAGGAAATCAAGTTTTCAAAATTACAAAACAAACACAAACTGGGATGAAAAAATGCTTAATTTTTTGGAATGAATTTGAGAATATAAGTCAACAGGGAAGAAAATAAGAACTGCTTAATGAGATGCTAACTCAATCTCTCCTTTTTACATGACATGCCAATCTATGAGGTGGTTGGAAGAAAAAGATTTGGGTTATGGATTTGTTGTAATCATAGATTCAAGTTATGTTTTTTTCGTTGTTTATGTATTATACATGTTAGTGTCTGTAATTTTAAATCTCTCAGATTTAGAAATATGAAATATCACATTTCTCATAATCAAATAGGCTTTACATGTTGATTTGTGAGATTTTTTATTACCATATTTTATCCACCATGTTTTTTTATCCTACTCGAAAGCACAAAATGTTGTTTAAATAGGGAAAGTCCCCTTTAATGTTCTTCTAGGCAACTTCTCGAAACGGGAATTTCGAAATTTGAGATTTGAAGAAGGTTACAACCACATTGTGAGTTGTCTTGATTGATTCGTTTAACGTCCACTTTCCCCGAAAACTACCAATTATGATGTACATGTTGTCGTTTATGCTTCAAAACTTGACACTTCTCATAACTTCTAAGTACTTTTTGAGTCGAAAAACTTGTTGATAGCATAATCAAACACAGCGGCGGATCTAGGGGGGGCCGCCCCCGGGCCGCGGCCCAGCCCTCCCTCGATCCAGAGCTAGTATAGCACGTGTAAATTTTCGATTTTTGGTGTTCGTTTAGGTGTTCGTTTCAGTGTTCGTCGTGTTACGGCCCAGCCTTCTCTGTTTTTTTCCAATGTGGCCCAGTGCTCTACCCAATCCTGGATCCGCCGCTGATCAAACACATTTATGTATATTCTTGTTTACCATCTTTATATCATTCTAATTTTATCGAATGTCTCTGAAAACACTTCTTGTCGATCATCTAACTCACAGGATAACAGGAACATGCATCTTCAACCTGTGGAGACTTGTCTCGCAATTCCTTCACCCGCACGGAGGTCCTTTCCGTCCTTGTGCCGTAGAAGGGAACGAAAACAGAGTAATAGCCGCCGGAGAGAATCATTAATTGGCCACAAAGACATGTAACCGTCTGCCGTAACTCGCACTGAACTAGAGAATCACTCCATCACAATCGTTATCACGCAGCCTAACTTCAGGCCCATAATTAGTGGGCGGAAAAAAGCCAATAAAATATTGGGCCCTCCAGCCCGAACCACCCTGAACGGCTTCAGTTTTGAGCCCCTTCTCTATATAAACATTGTGCTCTGTCATTTGTTGCTTCTAACAAGAAAACCAAAAAGACCCCTCCAACGAGCGCGACGAAGGCGGGCAACCCAACTCCTCCCCTTCTCTCTAATCGCATAGGCACAGCCGGCAACCCACCGGTGAAGAAGACAACAGCAGTCGACGACTACCGCCTGATTCCGGCGACGGCTGAAACAAAGGTAAGAAAAGCGAACCGTTTTTTTTTACTCATCCTTGGTCTCGTCTTTCTCAAACCACGATTGAAATTCCTTTGACGTACCGTGGAAATCTAATTGTTCTGTTAATAAAGAACGCCGCCGCCGTCGTACTCCTTCATTTCCCGATTATTCGAACCGTCGTGCCGAGTGCCGACAACGGTAAGTGGGCCTGAATGGGCGAATCTGGGCTTTTTTCCCCCGGTTGTCAAATTTGAAAAAGGGTGAGCTTTCGCTTTTGGGCCTGGACTAGATAATATAGTAAACAAATGGTCCACGTCAGAAAGTTCGTATGTTTGTTTCATTTACATGTGAAGGGAACATGGGAATGACGTCGCGTTTCTATTGATCACATTGTATGAAAGTTGAGGTGTCGATTTGTGAATGAAAGTTTGATCCTTTTTTCCGACCGCTTCCCATGTCTACATCTAAAGCTAAACTTTTGAAGCTTGGTTCTTTCTCTCCCAGTAAACACAAGAGTGGAAGCCACTTAAAACACCTAATCATGGCGTCGTCTGATCCTAACCCAGACCAGAAGCAACTTAGTGGTAAGCAAGGTCTATTCCTTCATTGAATGCATTGAATTGACACATATATAATTGCGTGTTGATGAGGAAATAAGGCTTGATTGAGTTTTATGTATATATGTGTGGTTGAGGGGAGGTTTCTAATTCAATGGGACTCTATCTATATATGTATTTGTCATGTCAGGTGGTGGGAAATTTGTGCCAAACGAGCATAACGTGCTGCAGAAGCATGTCATGTTCTTCGACAGGAACCACGATGGAATCATATATCCGTGGGAGACCTTCCAAGGTACGTAAAAGCTTTAATTATATAACTAATTTCCATAAACTGAACGACCCTCTAGATTCCTTGATTAGCCTTACAAGTAATCTCAACTTAACTGTTACCTTTACCCAGCTAGATTCTGTTGTTCCTTCATTTTCACGAAATGGTCCATAAACTGTAACACTCAAACAGGTTTTCGGGCAATTGGGTGTGGGTTCTTGCTATCTTCAGCAGCAGCCATCTTCATCAACCTTGGCCTCAGCAGCAAGACTCGCCCTGTATGTACATTGTGATCTCTCTGTCTCTAGCTTTTACTTTCGGTGTAATTGTTTAGAAGAAGAATCATTAGGTAATTAAGTGTGTTTAATAAAGCTGTGTTTGTCCCTTTCTTTCTGCCACGAAGCGGTACGTGATGCTTGTAAGCTATGGACAGATAGATAGACAGTGATGCTTGTATTGTTCTTAACCCTTTAGAGCTGGTTTCAGTACTGTACTGAATACTTTAGGCTTCTTTTGGAAAACGAGAGAATCCCAGCTCAGAAATGGCCACATGATTGTATGTGATCATTACTTTTTTTTATTGTCAAATCAAATCCTTAAAGTGTGACACATGTATCTGGGAGAATTATTAGATCTAATTATTTTAATTAGTAGTTGATGACTGATGCTGGCTGGATATATGCAGGGGAGATTTCCCTCTCTGTTGCTCCCTATTGAGATAAGGAACATCCAAAGGAGTAAACATGGGAGTGACTCTGGTGCCTACGACTCTGAAGGAAGGTAAAATTATATGCACGGTGAAACAAATTTACAGCATATATTGGATCCATTTTGTGTGTTTATACATGGTAAATTTGTATACTCCATGATTGAAGGTTCGTGCCTGCAAAGTTTGAAGAGATATTTGCTAAGCATGCTCGGTCACATCCGAATGCCTTGACATCGGATGAACTCGGGGAGATGTTGAAGCATAACCGAGAACCTAAAGACTATGCTGGATGGTGAGTTCATTCCTTGGCTAAAAAACGCTCGACAGTACTGTTAGGTCGAGGTTCCTAATGATGGATTCGTGTTACTATTATGGTATGTAATTGTTTAATTTGAATGGCATTTATGATGCAGGTTGGCGAGTTATTCGGAATGGAAGATTCTGTTCCTGCTAGCCAAGGACAAAGATGGGTTGCTGCACAAAGACACAGCTCGAGCTGTTTACGATGGGAGCCTCTTTGAACATATGGAGAGGGAGAGGCAATCGTCCAAACACAGGACCTAAACAGACCTCTGTTTCATCAGCTGCGGATCTCATCTTTAAATTCTTTGATTGGTCAAGTACTGTTGCTACGAATTTGTGGTGGTACGTTCATTAATGAACTGTGTACCAGGCAGCCATTGTGGTGGTAAATAACTGGGAAGTGAGTGTGTGGCCGTGGGGATATTCCCCATGGGTGTGTATCTTAATTGTTCTGTGTTTATGTGCAATTTCTGTCTGTAAAAGTGGTGGTGTGAACTGTTAATGAAATCAATTATGGTTTGAAATCAATTGTGGTGTGTTCCAAAGGTGAAAGAGTAGTTTTAGAATTGAATGCTACTCTAGCCTGCTGTTGGGCACCAGTAAACTGTAAACCGTTGACCTAGATACTATAACTCAAGGCCCAATCTAGTAGTAGTCAGGTCCAAAGGGAAAGAGGCAGCCAAGCTCCCCAAGGGCCCAAGAAGCCCAAGTTGTAGCTAGGACAATACAAGTGGACGGTTTAGTTAGACCTTTGATATTTTCTACATTTAATTCGTGGTGTTACTGCAACAGCTTAGACAAATTACAAAGCAAGGAAGGGATATATAGATGTATAATACATAAGGAATATCCAAGCTTAACTGTCTAGACGTATTTTGAAGTGAAATTGAAAAGTTTTGTTTAGATTTCTGAAGTTAAGTGTGTTTAGATGAGAGCAAAGTAAGAATGAGTAACCTTATGAAAAGTCATCATGATATTCTCAAAAGCAAATTGTACTGGAGCAGGACTAAAGCGGGCAAAAATCTTATCCAGAAAAGACTTGAGATGTTACACTTAGTTTCTCATATGAGTTTTTTAACAAGACCGAATAAAAAATAATTCAGTTTGGGGTTGGCGTCCACGTTGAATACTTGTCAGAGTAGCTCCTCGACTTACCGATTGTATTTTATCAAATTAGGGTGAAAATCCAAACTTATTCAATCAATTACAGAACTACTCTTTTTTAATTGTCTAATTTTGAAGAAAAAAATCCAATAAAAGATGGCAGGGATACCAATAATTAAAGTTTTTTTCACAGATTTGAGTTTGACTAACCATATGTCACAACTACACAATCCCTCAAATCAAATCTGCGAGGAACCATACAAATCAAGCAGAAACACAATCTAAGTGCCACAAAAATCAATCGTCTCATCCATCCCAGCCAATTGGACCAGCTGTTACCACTAACTCTGCCAACTGCTCTTCAGCAGCACACAGCAACTTGTAGGGAACACAATCCCTTTTACCGTTGGGGAATGATTCTTTCTCTAATAAAAAAGAGAAGGACCAGCTCCCCAGCTTTTGCCATTGCCAAAATTCCAAAACTTCCCCTGCCCCAAAGATTTGACATGAACAAGATCAGCACAAATATTTACGGAAGGATAATGATTGGTTATTTGTCTTTATTGCCATTAATTGCTCTAATGTAAATCTGAGTTCATAATTAGCTTCAACATATCACATCTCACACTCAGTTTTAGTCCCATCTAACATATAGTTTTTGCTCGTCAGAACCAAGTTCTCCACTTAATTTAGGTATTCGTATCATTGATAATCTTGATACGACTCTCTCGCACACAAATTACTATACGATACCGAGTGAACGAGTGCCAGATGACATTCTTATGGAAGTGACATCAGATTAAGCGTCGTGATACCCCCTGTTTAGATTCCCCTGCTTTTTTTTTTCTTCTCCAACTATATATACCAGGTAACAAGAAATATAAGACGGTACAGCAGAACAGTGTTATGTATCCATGTCGACAGTTGTAGAAGGGTAGCCTAGCTGTAGACTGTAGTGGGGTTCCAGCCAATTTTGGTCTTTTACACTTTTCAACAATAACAACAACAATTGGCATGAAACCCCACCACCTGCCGCCATCACAGCCGGCTAAACCTTTTTATTCAGATAACCCTTTTGAGCTATAGCTGTATAACGACTATGAACATATTAGGCAGGCTGAGAAAATTGACAGGTGAGATGATCGGAGATCCGTGAGTCGGCAGATTCTGCTGGTAAACCATGAAACGCTAATTAAGAACTGAAAATGGAGTGGGGGGTTACAGAGTTACTACTAATTATGAACAAGTACTACTATTTGATGCTCTTCAAATTCCAGATATCGTCAATATCCCAAACCACACCACCACCACCAGTTTCATCCTCCGCATCATCAGCAGCAGCAACCATGTAGTTGTCAACGTCGAAGCTGGGGAGCCAGATCGAGCTCCACCACATTTGCTCGTAATTAAGCACCCCGCCGCCTTGATGATCAGCTTCACCTCCGTTGCACATGTAGTACTCCCTCTCCACCGCCGCAGCCGCCGCAGCCGCCGCCGCAGCGGCACAAATACCCAATGTAGCTGTAGCTGTAGCTGTATTAATACTACCGGTGGCCACTCCTCCGTCTTTGTTAGGATCTGGTCCGACCACCTTGCTTCTCATCATCTTCCTCGCCGATTTCCCTGTCGCAGCAGCATGATCAGCAGTAGTAGTCTTCTCCCCATGACTCCTCTGCCTCTTCATGATCGATTTTTCTTTTTCTGTAACTCTAACTCAGCTGCTTCTCTTGGTTTGGAAACTAAGGGGGGTTGGTTAGTTGGTATTTATAGGTGTAATTTATAACAAGGTGGGTTGGGTTGGGGAGTTGGGTTTGGGTTTGGGTTTGGGTTTGGTTTGGTTAGGAATCTGGATGTGGAGTATGCACGGCTACAGGTAGAGGTCGGGGCCAGTGGGCAACTGGGCTTGGGCCTACTTGTTTATTTATTTCTTTCTTTTTTGGGGGGTCAGTTTTGTTGTTATCCTAGCCGACTCATTTGGGTCTACTTCCCCCACCGCATAAACCAATGCATGTTATCGTCACTGTGGATTTTTGGACAAATGTTGACCGCTCCGGGTGGGCCCACTATGCTCTGCTATTCCCTCCTGCCACGGCAAACGGCATGCCGATATCGAGGTCGAACAATTTACACAAACGATCACCTATGTTTTGAGTTACCAACGAATCGGTACGCGAAAACCCAATCTGAATCCAAATCGTAGTGGTTGGTCGTAATTTTGTTAGATGTATTAAGGCGTTTGTGGTCAATCGTCTAGTAGTTAGATTCGAACTTCGATGAACGATGATCGTTTAGGGAAGAGACGGAATGAGAAGATTAGAGATGGTGATCGATTAGAAGAAAGAAAAAAAGAATGATACTTGTTTAGTAATTGAGCGTCAATGTTAATCGGGACGATGCCATTGGAAACCTTGACCACGTCCATTGAACTTGATTCCACGTCGGCCGAGTGGTGATGTGATCATATCCGCCGGTCTTGGAGAGGAGAGCCAATGTCACTCCGGAATCCCAATATTTATTTTTTTCCTCATAATCATCATCGATCTTCAACCTTCTTTTCTTCCTATTTTTAAAGCTATGTATTGTTTAATTTTATAAATTTAAGCATGGAGGAGGAGGACTGAGATATTTTGGTCACCGTACATACCCATGTGGAGAAAAGTTAGAAAATCATGGGGCTGTCTTTTTATCTCTTTCTTGTTCTTCTCTTCCATTGATCAATTGGGGTTTCCGAAAAATAGTTTCTTTTTTCAGTGTTTGCTGCCACTTTCCTTTCCTCCCTTTCTCGAATTTGGCTCTGCCCACTTGGTTCATTCAATTTGCAGTACTCTGTCGAGATTATAAGAGGTCGGCGAGGGAGAATATATGTGGTTTTGATTGAATGAGAAAATATCTGATGAGGACAACTACTGTACTGACATTTTTTGGGTAGAGTTTTTTCTGTTCTTTTTTAATAAAAAGAACTAGCATTGCTGTAATTGGGTATTGAACTTTGTAGTAAAAGAAATAATCCAACAACTGTAAATGACATTTTTGGTAGAGTTTTCTAATTGTTCATAATATACTTTTAAGAAACGTCGTGTACTGATTTTTACATAAAATATTTTTATATGGTGGGTTTTAGGGACATGATCACATGAACGATAGAAATGAGATATTGAACGTCGATTTACCTATTGTAGTGTGTGAGAGATTTGTATGAATGAATTTGATACATCTGTTCGTTATGACGGATTTTGATGAAGTTATCCATCTATTAAAGAGATTAAAAAAAAATAAGAATTTTTGAGCCATGTGATTTCGTAAACCCCACAATTGTTGAATTTTGAAATAGCTAACCCACAAGCTATTTAGAAATCTAACTCTCTCAAATGATTTTCCATTTATCTCTCATATTCCCGGATAAAGATATATCGTTACTTTGTTCATGTTCATGTTTACGCTAGAATACCCCAAATGACTGGGTCTAGAATCATTTCCAACAATTCACCCTCTTTGTTGGGAATTTAACTTGAAAAATATTTTTATTTTGTTACAAATTAAGAAATTTATAGTCAAATTATCTGATCTCAAAACCTAGTTACGATACGATTTTACAACTATTATCCTAAACAAACCAACTCACGTTAATTTAGTTTGGTAAAAATAGTAGTGAGTATGAGAATTGGGTGACGGAAGCATATTAGTAGGGCGGCAGGTTTGCTGGTTGCAACTTGGAAGGGACAGCCGCCGTATGTTTCTGTTGGATCGATGATGAGGACGTACGGTTGCGTGGTGGCTCCTAAATTCAACGGAGTGGCAGAGGCAGAGGCAGAGGCAGAGGCAGGCGGCAGGCCACTGCCCTGACTCACATTCCCAGCGACAAGTTGCGTGGCGTATTTTCCGAGTTGACGCCCACATTTCTCACACCACTCACCTACTCAATCAATCTTTGCTTGGGGACGACCAACTAGTTGCCATAACGGTGTTTATAAAATCATTCATTATATCCTCGCATCCATCTACAAGCAAGCAACACAGGCGGTAACTAAACACCATTGATGTAAAGTTGTTTTCACTTGCAAGTGGCTTCTAAAGGGCAGACATCTCTCGTTTAGAAAGAGTTTTTTTATTTTTTTTTTACAAAGGAGAGTTTTTATTGCATTTTAACTGATCAGTTACAAAGAGACAACAACCAACATTCTGGTTCAACAGGAGGAAGGAAAAGGGAACCCGGTTACAATCAAACCATGAAAAGCAAAACCAAGAACAGAGAACACAACACAGTTTGACAGCAACCATCCAACAGAACAGAACCCATGAAAAAACCAGTACATCAGAAATCTCTCTTGCAACCAACCACTTAGAATGCAACAAGAGCGAAATCAGCTTGTCCGATCAATTCGAAATCCATGGCCAGTGATTGAACCATATGCCGCCTCATGGGGATAACTCAAAGGCATCCATCACAGTGTTCCTAGAAACAAGATTGCATGGCGGTGG